CCAATTTGCCATGGGAGACCCTACCAGGGGGCAAAAGCCCCCAGACAACATAGCCCCTGGGATCCCTGTGACAGACAAACCCCTCCACCCACCACGATAAGGTAGCGATTCAAGGCCTCCTTAAACTCATATTCACTGTTTGTTTTTCTGCTCCATCTCCTGAGCCCATGCTGTTCACTCATTGACAGAGCTGTTTATTAAAACAGCTGCTGGATACAAACACACAAACTTTATCAGTCAGTTGACAAAGGAAGATGACAGTAGTGTCATAACAGGGTCATGTCCACAGACCTGGAGACACGAGGAGAGTTTTTGGATGTGTTTAATAAATGTGTCCAATCTATTCACAGAGCACACGATGGCCACACCCATGGAGGATGTTGGCAAACAGGTGAGTTTATTCAACCCGGCCTGGGTTCGAGTCTGACCCGCAGCCCTGTGCTGCATGTCTCCCCCTCTCTGTTTCCTGTCAGTCTCCGCTGCATCTATCTGTTAAAGCCAGAAAATAAATTGGATTAGACGGACGTTTTGAAAATTTTCTACATCCATTAGTATTTATCTTATATTAATGGAAGTGTATTCCTGAAGTATAGCATGAAATTCTTTGCATAATCAGTTGGAGTCAGATACAGCATCAGCTCATGTCTTCTTTGCTCACGTCAGGTGTGGCGTGGGGCATTATTCATGGTGGACTTCATCCTCTCAAACCCAGTCATGTTCAGAGGAGCTACAGTCCTAGAACTAGGAGCAGGGACAGGCTTAACCAGCATCATCACAGCAACCATAGCTAAAACAGTCTACTGCACAGGTACGATACCTTGAAGCACGTACTCTTCTGTTGTTAAACTTAAACACTGCAAACAACATTTACAAACTAACAGCAACATATCGGATGCTGAGTGCCCGTACTGTGGGCTTTGTTTTGTTATCCAGTGAAAGGAAAATAAAGATTGCAAACAAGGAGATGGGGGTTAGTGAAAACCACTGTTAGCTGCTGTGGGCAGTGCAAACTTACCTAACAGTTTGTTCTTATTTCACACTCTGTCCAGGACTTAGATCGAATAACAAATATTTGACTGTTTGTTTAGAGCTTTTTTTTTCATTTTTGTTTTACAGATGTGGGAGAAGACCTTCTACAGATGTGTAAAAGAAATGTAGCGTTAAATAAACACATGCTGAAGTCTGCAGGTGAGAAAACTGTCAAATCAGCTACTCATGGGTTCCCTCGGTGTACAGACCTCACACACTGCTGGAGACCATGCAGCCAGTTTGGGCTCAGTATCTGTCCCAAGGACACTTTGCTGTAGCTCCTGAGCCACAGCCATGCCTTTTGGCTTTGGAATATATTTACGTAGCTTAAAAAAAGTGGAGTCACACGTACTCGGGGGCGCGCGGCTGGGCCACGCACGTGATTGGGGACCAGATACCACCCTGACAGAATCATGGATGGCAGGGCTTTTGAGTGTCCTTGCAGAAAGGTGCTATAATATGTCGCTGATTGTTTTTGTTTTGTTTTTGAATGTCAGAAATGTATATTTGTGAATGTGGAGATGTTATATTGGTTCACTGGTAAAAATATAATGAATGGGTATATATTTGTTTTTTGTTAAGTTGCCTAATAATTCTGCCGACACTCAGTCACCTGCACCCGTATCTAAAAGCTTCAAAACTAAAAACAAACTAAAAACTACTTCCAAAAACATTCAGCTTTGATATTAATGAGTTTTTTGGGTTCATTGAGAACATGGTTGTTGTTCAATAATAAAATTATTCCTCAAAAATACAACTTGCCTAATAATTCTGCACTCCCTGTATATATATTATATTTATATAAATATA